TTCTTGAAGTAATCTACTCCATCTGGGGCTGCAAGCCTTTCTCGGTTCAGTGATTCCTTTTGTACTGCGGCCAATCCGGAGAGCCTCGTCTTGAGAGACGGACCTCTTTTGGTGTCATCCAGCGTTGTTATGTCGCACCAGTCGTCAATCAACTGTTCATACTCAAACCACGAGGTGGTGCCATCATAGGCAGGCGCGATCTTGGGCGTTATGCCTAATGATGCAAGCATGCGGTCAGATGTTGCATATGACTGTGCGACATAAGTGGCTGGACCTTGGGAGGTCTCTTCGTTCTCATATCCCCCGGAGGATTGGGAACTGTCGTCGGCTTCGCTATGCGAGCTCGACATTGTGCTGCCTCTTATCCGCTTGGTTAAGCGTTCGGCGAGGCCGACCGCTGTAGCGGACTTTGGGAGGCGGGCGGCCCTTTCCGGGCTCCGCTACCAGAAAACTGAGCCGATACACCCACAAGGAAATGCTCCTTGTTAGGAGGTGTATGACCAGTTTATTCCCTAAGGATCAAAGGGCAGCGCCCTGCACACGGACAGTAGTTGTTTTGTCTTGCTACGCAAGGAGAGCTTGTCTTGTCTCAATATGGTAAAACCACTGTGAGCCAATGGGCAGCGGAATGTATATGTATGAGCATGCAGCCATTGCTGTAGGTACCTGTTAGAGCTACCCCTTTAGAGGTTTACGCAAACAGGGGGGGGGGGGGGCAAGGTGGGAAATTGTGAAAATCACGGGTGGCAGGACGGAAGCCGGGCAAGGGGGTCGAAAACAGGCGCAAAAAGCGGGATGCCAGAAACCATCCAGGCTGTGTAATGACATTTGCTGAATACCAGCAACTGCAGCTGCAGCGGAAACGTCTGAGCGCAGCAAAATTGCAGCACATGCAGTGTGTCCTTGGTTTTGCTGACATGCTTGTCGGAGATGCTCATTTACGCTGCTGTCAGCAGTCACGCCGCGAAGACAAGGAAGAAGGAACAGAATACCACACGGCAAGTCAGAAGCAGCTGCAGCAACAAAACAGGAAAACGAAGGAACTTCAACGAGGAAGCAAGAAAACCATGAGGAAAAACGCTGAAGAAACCAGCGCGAGAACGAAGCACGGGAAGGAAGGACGGAAGGTGTAGAAGGACGCGGGGGGCAAAAGTAAGAACAGGGCAGGAAGGGGCAAGAAGAACCGAAGGAGAAGAGCAATGGAAAAAACACGCGAGCGAAAGCAGCGGGAAGATGGCAAAGGAGGGAAGATGGAAAAGTAGCGGGGGAAGATGGAACAGTGGTAAAAGATGAAGGAGGGAGCTCGGAGCCGGAAAGCAGCGGACAGGTGGAAAAAGAAGAAAAAGGCAAGAATGTGGAAGAGGAAGAAGGAACGCTTGGAAGAAGAAAGGACAGGGTAGAAAAGAAGGAAGTCAAGAGAAGTGGGCCGGGAAGTAAGCAATGGAAAAAGCACGCGAGCGAAGGACAGGAAGGAAGGGTGGGAGATGGAAAGCAGCGGGAAGATGGAAAAGTGGCAAAGGATGGAGAAAGAGAAGAAGGAAGTGGGGGCAGAAGGAGGGGAGAAAGGGGAAGGAGGGGGATTGCAAGGGGTAGCCGGGGGGGGGGGGGGGGCAGGGGGGGGGGGAAGGTGGGAAAGTGTGAAAATCACGGGTGGCAGGTCGAAAACAGGCGCTACAAACGGGTGGAAGTTTGCATTTGGCGTGCAGGGAGGAGGATCAGGTGGAGGGTTACTTTGACAAATCGTTTCAACGTAGTTTAAGACATCGTTGCGAGATCGCTGCTCTTCAGGCTTTTGGTTCGAGATGACTTCTCACGTGTGTAGTACTTGCTCCAAGTTTGATTGTGAGCTCAGAATAAGTCTGGACGGTCGTGCCTCCTGCAGTATCTGTCGTGCTTTGGATCGCATTCGGGGTGTGTGTTTGAGGCTCCCATCTGAGTCTTCGACAAACATTGCTTCTGTTCTTTACGAGACGGAGGCACGACTCAGGGATCTCAGGCACTTTGGCGGTACACTACCGGTCACTACCGGTTGGCACCCCTGTTCGTTTGGAGCCTCCTGCAGGCGAGAGCTTATCTTATCACAGATCCATCCTTACTGTGGGAAGTGAAAGCAAAGTGTATGAGGTCCAGGCTAAAGCCAGTAGTTCAGGGTCAAGTCCTCGCGATAGACGGGCGCCCGTGTCTACTTCAGTTCAGTGTTCCAGCTTCTTCGAATCTTGCGCCTATTGAGCCTCCTGGTCCCCCTCCTGGTGCCTCATCGCGCAAACAGCGTAAGAAGAACAAGGGTTCACGCCGTCGTGATTGGCAAGATTTGCGCTGTGGTATCAAGCGTGGACGTGACGCCGACAAGACGCTCAGCTACACCAATGAGGAGGTTAGGACTGCCAAGCTACGCTCCCACTTCTTCACCAAATGTGTGCTCTCCAGCTACATCCTGACGAAAAACTCGTCGTGAGCTCTGAGGATATCCGACGCATGTTTTATATTTTCAGTCTGCCGCCCGTTTGGTTGCCTTTTCTATCATTCAACAAGCCTGTCCCAGCTGATTTGGTTCCGCCACATGTTCAGAAGGATTGTTTCTTGTGCGCCAAGGTGCTGCCCATGGGGTATCTGAACAGTGCAGGTGTAGCCCAGCACTTACACCGGAACTTCTTGAAGCGGGCTCAGGGCTCCCCCTCCAGACTGGGGCCGTGGAGTGAAATCCGGAAAGATAGGACGTGGACTCTATCTAACCCAAAGTGGCGAGTTTATCTTGACAACTTGGACGTGCTCGAGAAGATCAGCCCAGGAATGGTCAAAGTCCTCGAGGGTCATCCTTCATCCGATTTTGCAGCCCCTCATTCAGGCTTATCAACAAGCTGGGATCCCGTTGAATGCGAAGAAGTCAGGCAAGCAACCAGAATTTGCAGAAATGCAAGGAGCTGACATCGACGGAAAGCTTGGAACAGGTCGTCCAAAAGGGGAGAAGTTGGGGAAGTATGTGAGCGCGGCACTCTCCTTGCTTAGGAGGACACGTTGCTCGCAGAAGGAAATCCAGATCGTTGGAAGAGGTCGGGTATATTCTTCCATGTTCCGTCGTCCTTTGATGTCGTGCTTGAACTTCATCTGGGGATTTATTCAGTCCTTTGAAGAGCCTGGGCCTACAGTTCGCTCAATCCCAGGGGCAGTGCAATCGGAAATCCTGGTTTTCCTCACTTTGCTTCCGCTTGCGCGCGTGGATTTTAGGAGCGAGGTATCCGAGGTTACCGCTGCCTCGGATGCATCGCTTCTTGGAGGCGGAGTGTGCGCCAGTGGCAAGGTCACGGAACTTGGTCAAAAGGTTGCGGAGGGACATTTTCGAGGGGAGTTGAGTCGCGAGGTACCCGACCATGGTGTGGTATGCATCGAGCTTTTGATGGCATTTCCAGCTTACGAGTGGCACTTGAGGCTGTCCGGGACTGTGTGTCACTCCACGTATCCGTGGAGTGTGATCCTTCTGCAATAAGGGTAGTTGCCACGAGTTTCCCATCATCGTTGCAGATCGATCGCGTGGAGGATGTTACGCCAGAAATGTGTCGTGAGAGGGCTGCCCAAGCCTCCTCTGCCCGTTTAGTTTTAGTGGGAGCGGGGCCTCCGTGTAAGATAAGCCGGGAATCAACCAAGGAAGATCGGGACACGCATCCCTGTCACTTGGTCAAAACAGTGGTTGAGATGTTGAAGGAGGCTTTGCGGTGGTGTCCCGTACACGTGATCCAGGAAGGTCTTTCCAGCATGGATGTTCATGAAAAAGTGTCGTGGACCACCCACGCTGACGTCATACCTTACCGCATTTGCGCCTCTGAGCTTTCCCCTTGCAGAAGAGATCGATTGTACTGGTTCGACTGGACCTTAGTTCAGGAAAATGGTGTAGCACTCCATCCAACTCGTGATGGGAACCGTCAGGGTCATGGCGAGGTCAAGTTCACGGTCCCAGTGGATGTTACTTCATGTCTTGAGCCTGGGTGGAATCTCCATCCGAAGGCGAGCCGGTTCGCAACCTTTACAACTTCTGAGCCGAGCCATGAACCCAGGCACCAACCGGCCGGGTTTCACAGATGTGACTCCGAATCACTCGCCAGGTGGCGAAATGACCGCCACCGTTTTCCACCTTACCAGTATCGGCCTGAAAATCTCGTCTGGCATCCCAAACTTGGACTCCATCGGTGGTCGAGTGGGAAGGAGCCATGGGTTTTCCAGTGGGTTTCACCCTTGGGTCTCTCCCTAGAAGTGAAGCCAAATCTCAAGCGCTTCGTTTCGAGGATGTACGGCTCAACCTCCTTGGAAACGCCTCGAGCGTGGCCGTCGTTGGATTTCTGGTTTTACAGCTTTTGAGACCTCTGCAGCTCTGCATGCTCACGAGTTGGCAAGAACTGCTTGAAAACGCTGTTCAGTGACAAACCTGTCTTTTCTGATGCCCTTTTGAGTTGGCATTCGCTACGCTCGAAACAGTGCTGTCCTGGCACTGACACGGGCAAAGCTTTAGCTGCAAAGTTAATGACTTTGCTTTCTAGCAAAGGAAACGACATCATGATTCAAACTGGAACGGAACCCCGTGTTTTTCAGCGTTTCCGCAACTCCATTCCTGCTCGTCTCTGGACGTGGAGAACCATCACTGTGCGAAAGTCATGCCGAAAGTCCGGGATTGACATAAAGAAATCACATGCACAAAGTGCGTTGAATGTGATTGTTGATGGCTGCTGCCACGAACCTCAAAGGTCCCCTTAGCTTTCCGAGATCATCAGAGTTCAGCCGATGGAAAACCGGTGTTGATTGCGGCCGCCTGGGCGTCTAGAACGCACAGGTGGTAGCGGAGCTGCTTGGTTGGCCACAGTAATTACTGGGGGCCAGAGAGCGCACGACATCCGCGGTTTCGTGAGTCTGAGCATGAGTGGTCAGGGGAGAGGGATGACAAGCCAAAGCTAGAGCGATTTGATGGGAGTGAACCGTCAACGTATCGTCGTTGGCGAAGGAAGGCCGAATTGATGCTACTTGCACTTCCGAACACGTACACCAAAGAGCGGTTGGGAGCAAAGCTTCTCGAGTACATCTCGGGCGAGGCTGAGGAAGTGTGTGAGAGTGTGCCATTGGAGAAACTGACAAAGGACGGCGGGCATGAACTTATCTTTCAGGCGTTGGATGAACGCTACCGGGAGCTTGACAAGGAAGCCTTGCATAAGCATTTGTCGGAGTACTTCTATGGCACAGCAATTCGGTCAGGAGAAACATTTCGCAATATGACAGTGAGGCTGGACACAGCCTACCGCCGACTTCAGGGGCACAAGGTGGAGTTGCCTAGCGAGGTGAGGGGCTGGTTTCTGTTGCGCAAGTTGCAGCTGGATCAGACATCAGAAGCTATGATTCTTACACACACCAAGGGTTCCCTGAAGTATGAAGACGTTAACAAAGCCATCCAGGCGATCTTTCCATCAGGGAGTGCCAAGAGCGGTGCCAAGGTCAAGGAAGTCTATGAGGCCGTGGCGGAGCCCACGGAGCACGGAGCCATCGAGGAGTCCGAGGAAAGCATCGACGAGGTTTTCCAGGCAGTGGCGGATCAAGTGCAAGCCACTGATGAGTACGAGGACGAAGATGCTTTGGATGTGTTCGAGACCTACAAGGAGATTCGCAAGCGCATGCAGGAGAAAAAGATGGGCCGTGGATATCGCAAAGGGCCAGGACCAACATGGGCATTGACGGGCACAGTGAAAGGGAAGATTGAGGCTTTGAAGGGTCGTACGCGTTGTCACTTGTGTCAAGAGAAAGGGCATTGGAAGCGGGAATGCCCAAAGCGGGCTTCGTCGAGTGCTGCAGGGCAGCGCTCCGGCCGAGCAGGTGCATCCAATGACGCAATGGTGGCAGATAGCTCTGGCATAGATCCCACCGCATTTGGCGGCGAGTACTTCATCGAGCCGGAAGACATCGAGAACTTAGAGATCTTTCTAGCCGAACGCGACGGTGAGGTCGATGTGGTGGTTGCCAACCGCGAGGAGGCGATTGGTGACCAGGGTGAAGTGAGAGGGGACTTTGAGCGTGATTTGAGGAAGTTTTTCAAGCTCTCCGGACAGAGCGACGACAAGAGCGACAGCGAGGCATACGTGAGTGAGTGTGCTGGCTTAGCTGAGCATCGGGTTCCTGACACCGCATGTAGGAGAACCCTGGTTGGTGAAGCGGTTCTGAAGCGGATGTCAGATGTACTCAGAGAGTCAGGGCTGCAGGTTAGATTGGTTAAGGAGAGTCACGAGTTCAAGTTTGGCAACGCGGGGTTGCTGAGATCGACTCATTCAGCCTTGATTCCTGTGTGCTTGGGGGGCAAACAGTTTCTGTCCAAGGAGTTGCTTAGAGGTTTGAAAGTTAAATTAGATATGGGGTGTGACGTCTTGGAGATAGGAAGGTATGGGATCAAAGTGAAGCTCAGAGAGACTGAGCGGGGGCACTATGCGATTCCACTCTTTGAAGGCTTCAAGGAGGCCATGTGCAAGAAGGGGTGTGACCCAGAAAGACCAGGCACAGACGCAGGATGTGAATGCCGTAGAGTTTTCTGGATCGCAGGTTAGCGCGGCGAGTCCCAAGTGTTGCGAGCTTCAGCGGCAGCATGAGCTACACCGGCGGAGCGCCGATGGACATTCCCATGGAGGGCTTCACCAGGACTCCATTGATCAACGATCTGCTGGAGGAAGTGGCGACCACCGGGACGGGGGATCAGATGTCCGAGATCCACAGCAAGATCCTGGACGAGGCACCAGATCACAGCGACGACGAGCCAGAAGGAATCGTGCCCGGGGTCGAGGGTCAGCTCGGCAGGCTCATATTCAATGTGGGCAAGTACCAGAAGGCAGGCCAGCTTGTGAATTTCCGCACGGCGTACGCGACGGACAAGAAGTACGTAGCTTGGATCAGAAAATTCATCAAGAGCAAAACGGATCCTGTGACGGGCAAGGGCAGCCATCCTACCATGGTGCAGTTTCGGCTGTATGTGGCTTTGAGGGATCAGCGAAAGGCGGCAAGGATCCATGCGACTCATGGGTTGGAGACGCCTGTGGGAGGTCTGCCATCGGCTTCTTCGGATTCTTCGGGATCAGTGGTGACAGCGGAGGAGCGCCTTGTGTTGCCCAAGGCCCGTGCAAAGCCGAAGGCCAAGCAATCGGCCACCCGCAGCCAAGGGCCCATGGTGCAGCCGGCAATGATGACAAGGGCAGTGCTGCCACGCCAGGGTGTGCAGAGTCGTCAGATGGTGCAAGCCGAGGAGGAGGAGACCGAGAGTGTGTGGGAAGATTCGTGACAACTCCTGTGGCACCAGCACCGGTGATGAGCGCAGCCGACCGCCGCCGAGCCTTGATCCGGCAGCAGATCGAGGCACTCAGCCACCAGCTCGAGGAGCTGGAGGAGGAGGATCCGGAGATTTAGATTCGGCAGAAGGACCATCTGGTATTATGAGTAAGGCTGAGCGGAAACTGTGTAGGCGTGGGTTGACGGCCGTTCGTCAGAGCAATGATGCTTATGGGGTTGAGCACGGTGAGATAGATGTTCTGATGCTTGAAAAGGATCCTGACGAACAGATTCTCACGGCAGTAGGCCTCAGCTCCAGTTCTGTGTTTGAAAGTTTGGAGCCGACTGACATTCGGCAAAGCACCGCCTTGGACAAGGTGTTGGCAAAGATCAGAGAACTTCGGCCAAGGTTGCTTGTTATCCGTACGCCTGATCACATGACTAGGACCAAGGGTGGAAAGCATATGGCGCGCACTTTCCATGCTAGACATCGTGCTGCTTTCACGAAGTTCGCTGTGGCATGTTGCGCTGAACAGTTGTGCGAGGGTCGTCTGTTTTGCATTGAAGAAGTCAACGACAGCATGAGCGAGAGAGTGCAACAGTGGAAGAGGTTGAGAGAGGATGAGAGAGTGATTCAAGTGGCACGTCATGATGATGACAGCTCGTGGCGTTTGCATACCAACAGCCAGCATGTGCGTGAACAGTTTCAGAAGATGTGGTTGAATCAGAGAGAGTGGAGAGATCCAAGGGGGTTTGTCAAGGATGTGGCCACGAGTATGCTCCGTGAAAAGCAAGCGGTGAGTGAGGTTCACGTTGCCCATTGTGTGTATGCGATTGAAGACCTGAGGCGAGAGAGTGTGACCATTCTGAGACGATGCCATGAGAACCTCGGACATCCTTCACCGGCACGCATGAACATGTTACTTAAGGCCGCTCACGCTAGCGAGAGGGTTATGCAGTTGGCTAGGAGCTTAGAGTGTGAGACGTGTTCCGCTTTGAGCAAGCCCAAATCCCATAATGTCACCAAATTGCGAAGGGCTACGGAGTTCAATCAGCAGCTGTGTGTTGACACTTTCGAGTTGGAAGTCCGAAACAGCAAGCTCCATTTTCTGAACATCGTCGACGAGGCCACCGGCTATCAGTTGTGCATTCCCCTTTGGAAAGGCATGCAAGCTCGAGTTGTGCGCAATGCTTACAGAAAGGGATGGAAGCGTTGGGGTGGGGCTCCTGTTAGATTGTTCAGTGATGGAGGCAAGGAGTTCGAGGGCGAGTTTGAACACGGATTGTCATTAGATGGAACGTACGGCGACATTTCCGCCGCATATGCTCCATGGCAGAACGGCACAGCAGAGCGCAAAGGTGATGTTTGGAAGACGGCATATGCTAAATGCTCCATGGCAGAACGGCACAGCAGAGCGCAAAGGTGATGTTTGGAAGACGGCATATGCTAAAGCGCAGCTTGAAGTAAGACCGAGAAGCAAGCAGGAGGCCCAGGAGCTCATCGATCAGATCAACAACGCTGTGAATAGCATGTCCCGTAAGGATGGGTATTCGCCACATCAGCATGTTTTCGGAAGGGACATTCGGATTCCGGGTATGATCACTTCGGATCCCGACCCTGTGGTGAACTCATCGCTTGCACAGGGTGAGTCCGTGTTTGAGCGCCGAATGAACATTCGAACAGCGGCGCGAAAGGCTTTTCTTGAGGCCGACGGAGATGCTCGCATAAGGAAGGCGATGGAGCACCGAAGCAGGCCAGAGCGAGGTCCTTTCATTGAGGGTCAGCTTGTTTACTTTTGGCGAAGAAATCGGTTCGAAAATCGTCATCACTGGCATGGTCCGGCGGTCGTTATTGGCAAAAGTGGAGGCTCTAAGGTTTGGGTGGCTAAGGGCACTAAGGTGTATAGGTGTTGTCCCGAACAGTTGCGCAGACTGTCACCTGATCAGGAAGCCATGGTTCGACTCTTGCCAGAAGACATGATACATGTGAGGGATAACGTGAGTGCTCGGGGTGCTGGAAATTATCACGATTTGAGTAACTTGGAAGTTCCACCGGGTACCGATTCTACCGATGGTCAGCCGGAGTTGAAGCCGTTGGAATCTGAGTTGCCAGTTGAGAGGGCGTGCCTTGGTGACCGTTGTCGCGTGGTTGCCTTTGTTCGAGATGGAGGCAAGGTCGCCCATGAGTATGATTGGCGCGGTACAATGCAATCGTGCAATGAAATCAAGGGACTATGGACGGGCACAACGGAGTTTGATCTTGTGCATGATTGGCGTTGGAATCCCAAGCAGCTTGAGTGTTTCGAAGTGAAGGCGAAGAAAGGCCGCAAGGAGCTTCATGAATCAGAAGTTGCAGCGGATCGAAAACCAGGTTTAGATGCCGCAAAGACGAAAGAATGGAAAAAGTTGGTGAGCAGCGGCGCTATTGTTGTGCATGACGGTCGTAAGGCACGGAGGTTACGCGAATCAGTGGAAAAGAAGAGAATCCTGAAGTCACGGTTCGTCATCACGGAGGCCGACCAAGGTTCAAGTCCACAAACACAGGATATCAAGGCGCGCTGGTGCATTCGTGGTTACCTTGACCCGGATCTGTTGGAACTTGATACAAGTGCACCGACTTTGACGATGGAAGGGTTTGCGATTGCCATGCAGTTGATAGCGTCCAACGGTTGGTCGTTGAACATTGCAGATGTTGAGGGTGCTTTCCTGCGTGGAGATTCGTTGAGCCCGAGCCGTGGAAGGTTGTTCATTGATCCACCCCCAGGAGGGGTACCAGGTCTCTCAGAAGGATGCTTGATCGAGGCCGTCAAGACCGTATACGGTCTTGCAGATGCGCCAAAGGCATGGTGGGAATGCTTTTCAGTCAAGTTGACTTCCTTAGGAATGCGAGTGTCCAAGTTTGATCCTTGCTTGTTCTACTACTACGTGAATAACACTCTGAGCGGGGTTGTGTCATTGCATGTGGATGATTTGTGCTTAGGAGGCGATAAACACTTTCACGAACATGTGATTAAACCGCTTAAGGAAATGTTTCCGTTCAAGCATTGGAAAGTAGGGCAGGGGGAATTCCTAGGAAAGCAGTTGAAGCAACAGACCGATGGAAGCATCATCATCAGTCAAGGCGAATACGCAGCACAGCAGCGTGGTCTGGAAATCTCACGAGAGCGTAGGCGAGAGAAGAGCGAGAAGATCAGTGAAGAGGAGCGAGCGCAAATGCGCGGCGTGTTGGGCAGCATCAATTGGCTTGTTACTGGGAGCCGACCTGACTTAGGAGCTTGGTGCTCACTTCTGCAACAAAGGGTTAACGAAGCTACGGTAGCTGACTTGATTGAAGTGAACAAGCTTGTGAGTCTCACGCATGACAACTGTAAGGCGCACGCGTGGATTAAGAGCATTCCTGTGAGTGATGTGCAGTTTGTTATGTTGTCGGACGCAGCATGGGCTAATGCTCAAGGTCTGTGCAGTCAAGCTGGTTACTTAATGCCGCATGCGATCATCGTTTACCTCGTGGTGAATGGGGCACCTTCTCAGTGCTTCGTTGGAAAAGCTACAAGCAAGACAGGCAGACGCACTCGACCTTAGGGGCAGAATTGTTATCCTTGTCCAGAGGAATCGCTGAAGCAAGGTGGATGAGGTCTATGTGGTGTGAAGCTGTGTTTCCTTCATACGACTTGAGAAGCGACGGGAGCTGGAGCAGTCAGATTCCGATCACCGCGGTCATTGATTGCAAGCCAGTTTATGATCACACCAAGAGCTCAACTGTGACGGTGAAGGACAAGAGAATGGCAATCGAGATGCTTCTGGTCAAAGCAGACATGGAGCGACATCGAGTTGATCTACGATGGATGGCGACAAAGCAGATGATAGTCGATGTCTTGACGAAGCGTGGAGCGCCCATGAATCTTTTCCGTAAGGTTTTAGCTGAGGGTCGTTTTATCTTGGTTGAAGACGAAGCAGTGGCAAGAGTTACTTCAAAGAAGAACTCAACAGCATCTTGTGCATGTTAATTCCGGGGTGTGCGAAAGTCATGCCGAAAGTCCGGGATTGACATAAAGAAATCACATGCACAAAGTGCGTTGAATGTGATTGTTGATGGCTGCTGCCACGAACCTCAAAGGTCCCCTTAGCTTTCCGAGATCATCAGAGTTCAGCCGATGGAAAACCGGTGTTGATTGCGGCCGCCTGGGCGTCTAGAACGCACACACTGGTTTTCCCTGGCCAGACGGGGAGGCAGACCACATAAACAGGTACGAAATGCGGGCAGTGTACACGGCGCTGCGATGGCGAGTCTTGAGGCGCAAGGAGTGTCGTGTGAGATTCGTCCATTTGACTGACAGCATAGTGAGTCTGCACGTAATCAATCGTGGACGTTCCAGTTCACGCAAGCTGCAATCCCTCATGTACCGCCTGTCCTCCCTACTCCTAGCTGCCGGCCTCCACCCTTTTCTTGCTTATGTCTCCACCGAAACAAACCCGGCCGACAGGCCAAGCCGGAGGCATCGCGTACAGCGTAAATGGGCAAAGTGACCATTTTGGCGCCCAAGACAAAGCAAGAAAGAAAGGTGGAACGGCAGCAGCTAGGAACTTTGCGTGCAAACACAGTCGCAACTCGCACACGGCAGCGGTGCGATGCAGCACTGAAAGCTTTTTATTTGCATGCACAGACACAACGCATCCGCATACCGGATGAGCCAGAACCTCTGGACTCCATTTTCGCTGACTACATCGAATGCTTGTGGGAAGAGGGGGACAGCTTCTCGCTCGCTACTGATGGGCTGTCCGGGCTACAAGATCTCAGACCCCGCCTTAGGGGCAAGTTAGCGCTGTCCTGGCGCCTAGTGCGCACCTGGCAGATCCCGCAACGGGCTCGTCCGTTGCCCGAAGATGTCCTGCAAGCACTTTGCGGGTATTTTCTGTTTTGCAACATGCCTTTCCTCGCACTCGCTCTCGAGGTAGCCTTCTACGGCGTCTTACGGACCGGTGAGCTTTTGAACCTCACGGCAAGTAAAGTGGAAGTCTCACCTTCTTTCGATTGTGCGGTATTGTCACTTGGGGCTACCAAGACCTCTCAGCGCTCTGGCATGAGTGACTCCGTGACTCTCCGAGTTTCCCCGGTTTGTGAACGACTTTATCGGTGGAAGAACTCAGTCAAATCGCATGCTTTTTTGGTGCCTGTCTCCGAATAGTCTTTTCGTAGGTCTTTTGATGAAGCTCTTTCTGCGCTCAGGCTCACGAGCTGGGCTTTTCGCTCATATAGCCTTCGCAGGGGCGGTGCAACCATGTACTGGCGCAAAAACCCTAACATGGATCATTGCGCCTCATGGGGCGATGGGCCTCGGAACGATCGGCGCGAATCTACATTCAAGACGGGCTCGCCCGTTTGGCCGAAATGCATGTTCAGGTCTCTCAGCCTCCTTTACAGCCTTGTTTCGCCCTTTACGGTCAGCAAGGGCGATCGCTTCGCAACCCCAGGGGCCGTGGATAGAACTCCGCTCGGTTTCCATTGGGCATGCCTCCGAGCATCCAGAAAGTTTTCGAGTTAATCTATGCCGTATCTCTTTCTTAACTATGCCTCGGCATGTTGTTGCAAGCTGGAGGGGCCCATTGATTTGTAACAGTTGTAAGGAACCGAGCGGTGCTTAATTTGTAAAGCCCTATCGCGGAATGTCAACTTTTCTCTTACATACACCTTCCTTTCGCAGAGAGAAAGAGCGAGCGACAGATGTCTTAATATTAAAACGCCAGAGGGCTTTGGCCTCGGATAAAGATTTGGATCAATCCGGAATCGCCAAATGAAGGAGCATGTTTACGATGTATGATGAACCGGAATCGCCACATAAGGGGACGTGTTTAAAGTATATGAACCGGAATCGCCAATGAGGGGGCATCTTGTAGAGATACGATGAATCTCCCAAGGAAACTGGCATGTTTAATGTATCTGATGAACCGCCAACTGAGGGGGGCGTGTTTACGATATGATGAACCGGAATCGCCGAAAGAGAAGGCGTGTTTGAGATTTATGATGAATCCGAATCGCGAATTGAGGGGGCATGTTTAGGGCATATGATGAACCGGAGTCGCCAAATGAGGGATCATGTTTAATATGAGGAACCGGAATCGCCAGATGAGGGGGTGTGCTTAGGATAAGCATGAATCCGAGGAGGCAGGACATTTACATTCACAGGTGCAAATTTCTCTCCGATGCTCCTTCCTCCGGCCAGCCGCGCAAATCGGCAAGTCCATGTACGTGGGAGTTGCGATGTAGGGCACCCCGAAACCCGAAACCCTAGAATTGGTCGAGGCAAATTGTCCTTGGAATCGCTGCATTTCCTATGACTTTTTTGATGCTTACTGTCATGTGTTTCGATGCTTGAATTTATTTTTTGATGCCTATTTTTAAATCAATGCTGTGATATGCTGGGACTGGCGACGGGGGCGGGGCAGAGTGGTAACTGGACAGCAGGTGGCATATCCTTTTGCATGATTGCACGGCTTTTGTGGATGAATGGGTCGCTGAACATGGTAGCCACGCGTTCAGGAAGATGCCACCGAGAAAAGTCACAGGTGAGAAGTGTAAAGTAACCGTTTGTCGAGAAATCGACTCGAAGGAATCTGGCAAAGGGATCCACCGGCCGGCGCGGCAGTGGTATTTTTCAGTCTAGGAGGGTTTGTCAGTAGTCAGTTGTAAGTCGCTTTCGATACTGCACCTTAAGGCCCGAGCCATGTTTCTTTATTCTGGTTTTGCTCGCTTGGTGCATCTTCAGTGCCAACCCTTGCTGAACAAACAGGACGGCGAGGAGACCTGTTCTCAAACTCATCATCTGGAAGAGAGCATTCGTGTCCTCCTTAGGAATGATGAACGCCCAGCGGCCCAGCACCCCGAAGTTTTGGGTGTGTGTAGAGGGCGGTGGGGTGTGTGGTGCAGCCTGGGGGTGGAGCCCTGGCGGTTGCTTTTCGAAGTATCACCTGACTCAAGTTGGACCTGACATGCTCCGATGCCTGATCTTGATTAAATCAAGAAGGATAGGATTGCCGACAGGGTGAACTGCCAGATTGCGTAGGACACACCGCGCTATGAGGTCTTGCTAGAAACAGCAGACACCATGCTGGCACAGTTTCAGAACTGTGCTTCCTCAAGACTTGGAGATTCTGAGGCGAGCCGTGCGCACCGCCGGACGATGGTACGCCGGACTGGCCTCGTCAAGAGTTGTGCGAGCTTGAACATTTTGACACTTTTACGACGACTGCATCAGCGTAATTTGCCCTTCTGAGCTGTCATTCAGGTTCTTGTCCTTCCGGGGGCTGCAGAGCCTGTGGCATCCTGAGCTGGACATGTTGCAGATACCTGCTGAGACGGAACTCTTCGCATTCCGAGTCTGAACGAAGAGTTCTCTCGCCCGGAAGTCATGCCAAATGTCATCTCGACGCTGCTCTCCAAGGCCGGACAGGAATAGGGCAAAAGGCTCTTCAGTTCGCGGTCTTCACTCGGACTGCAGGCGGTGTTCAATCCGCAAGAATGGCGAGATCGGCTGTCCCTCACTGCCACCTGCACGCATTGGAAGCTCGTGGCAACAAAGAGGTTCCACGGCGCAGTAGGCAAGGATTCTTTTGTGGCAGCACTTGCTCAGTGAAAAGCGCCAACTGTCCAGACCAGTCCCCCGACTCTGCACATCCAAGGCTACGCCAGGCGCGTCGTCTCAAGCAGGCAGCGCTTGGCCAAAGCGCAGCGCTCGGAGCAGCAAAAGGTTGGGAGAAACCGCACACTGGTCGATGCAGCTCTGGGGCCTCTAGGACTCTAGGATTCCAGTACTTGTCGATCCACGCTTGCATCAGTATCCCCTCCGAGGCACATCCTCGTCGCGCAGGAGAAGAAGTACAGCGTTGAGTGCTGAGCTCTTTCGTGCACAGCATCCGGTCCGGCGCTACCCTTCTGCAAGGAAGCTGACCAGTATCAGTATAGTAATCAGGAAGTCATACAAGCGACTCCAAGCCACAAGCCCTGCTTCGCCGAGATCATCCTCTCGTTTTGGGGGAACAGCCCTGAGCGCCTTGACCAAAGGAGCAGAAGCCTGTTGTCGAAGGTGGGTCAATAGCTAACTAGATTTCGGCATGAATCCATCGAGCAAGCTGTTGGTTGGCATTTCAGCGGCGGATTTCCACGGTTCTTAATCTACCCCATCTGCAAAGTACAGCAGAGTGGGTTCTTGGACCTGCTTTGTAAGGATGAGTGGCAGCGAAGCTCCAGTTTTAGTTTCAAGCCACTTCAATCTGCGGCACCTTCATTGGAATAGATTGTGTTGCGCGCTGATAGCATGTCCAGTCGACTGCCCGAAGTCGGCGAGAGAGCCCGGACACAGCGACCACTGCGCCCAGGCGCTCCGTTGCCATTGAGGGTGGCACCGGCATGAGCTGGACGCAGCGGCCTCAGATGGCTTGTGCCGCAGTTGCGAAACCGTAAGATGCCACCAGGCTCGTGCTCGAAGGCGAGCTGGAGGAGCGTGCAGTGAACATAGGCGCCTGGCCCCCCCTCTGAGCGCATGTTGCGGCAGTGGGAGCGACTGCTCAACTGTCAGCAGGGGCTCGCCATGGCCAAATACCTGCAAGGAGAATCACCGTTGCATCGTCCGTTGGACCTGCCGTATGATCATGTACGGGGTATGTAATTCCCGGTGCCGCTAGTTGCATGCAACTGCGACGGTGCATCGGGAAGGGTTTTCAGGGTTTGCAGTTGCTGAGAGACCTTTTTTGCTTTCTTTGGAGGGCGGTGCCTTTTTTACGCGCCTGACCCGTGCCCTGACCTCCCGGCCGTAGCCGCCGTAGCTGAGTTTTTGGGCTTTGCCGGGCTCTGCCTGGCCGGCCTGGCTTTGGGGAGGACGAGTCGCAAATACGGCCGCGTCCGCTGCATCAGGTGCGGAAGGGCCGCAAGTCGTTCGATCCAGTGTGCTCAAGGAGGCACGGCGTCCAGCTGCAACTATGCTCTGCTTTCCAGTCATTGCTTTAGTTTGATAGCTCTTGGCGAGGCAGAGCAAAACCAATGCAGATTCGGTTGATATGGCAGGAGAGCTGCTCGTTTCTGAGCCGGGAAGAGACTTCCGGTGCCGCCGGTGCTGACATCATTGAGCATCTTGGATGCGCGAGCACTTTTGAACTTTTCCCGTGCTGTGGTAGCTGCTAGCATCACCTGCAGGCACAGCCACTCCTCCGAGACGTTTGTGGCTCAAAGCCTGATCCTAAGCCACGCCGCCATGTCTCTGCCTGCACTAAGGCCTTGTGTCTCGCTGCACGTCTACCATCCTCCGCTGCCGGAGGCCTCGAGAACAAAGGCCGGCGTCAGCTCTCGATAGCTGGTGTTCCGCAGGCATGGATGACGGGATGAGGATCCGTGCTCGCCTAAGCCGGCTTTGCCAGAGTCTGCAAGATCGTTGGATTTAAAAGGTCCGATCACCCGTCCTTCATCTTGCTGCGGCTTAGCTACTTCGTCCGGTGATGCTGTGCCAACAACGCGTGCACGCGACATCCTACCCGGCACGGTCCTCGCGTTTGCAATCCGCCGGCAGGGCGTGTGAGAAGCGGTCGGGTGCTCATGTCCTGTGTCTTTCCGCTGCCGACTCTTCCTGTTTGGTCTGCTACCTGCTACCAGTACTACCTGTAGCGTTCTCACACAACCTTGGGGCTAGACCAACCTGAGCACTGTGGCTGTCAGCAGCATCGCCGTCTTCAGTTCTCGTGTGGTCGAGAGCCAACACTGCGTCTCAGTGCTGCCATCGCTTTGTCATGAAGTGGGATCCGATTTTGCCAACGTGTCTGGGTGCGCCTGCCTTTCCAGCAGTTCATCTCCGATTCTAGATTCTAGACAAGGAAGTGTTTATGACGCAAGTCATGCTTCATACACCTGTGTGGTCAAGTCACTTGCGATGAAGCGTGCGCAGTCGGCTGCTGGGAGCCCTTGGATGTGAGTTCACAGGAACAGTGGAACGGTCAGGGAAGCATAAAGGCCGTCAATCAAGTAATTAGGCTGCAAGGCATGCGCGCGCACCCAAACTACAGAGTCTGCGGCCTGGACAAGTGCGTTTTGTTGTCGTCGTCACGGCTCGGGGTTCGCGGTCCGTCCGCGAAGCGGCTACTTCCTGCTCGGCCCTGCGAGAAATTCAATAAATCTTCACAAAACTAATTTTAATGCTACGCCGCCCATGCTAGGGGGGCCTCTCAACCCCAACCTTTACACGGTTGTTGATACCCACAAGTGTGAGGAGAACGGGGCAAGGTGGGGTGGGGGGAGGGGGGGAAGGGGGGGAGGGGGAGGGGGGGGAGGGGGGGGGAGGGTGAAACACTGAATGTTACACATCCCTTGCATGCATCCATGCCTGTTGCTCAAGGTTCAAGTGCAGTGGGGGGGGAGGGAGGGGGGGGGGGGGGAGGGGGGAGGGGGAGGGGGGGTGGAACCATAAACCTCTAAAGGGTAGCTCTAACAGGTACCTACAGCAATGGCTGCATGCTCATACATATACATTCCGCTGCCCATTGGCTCACAGTGGTTTTACCATATTGAGACAAGACAAGCTCTCCTTGCGTAGCAAGACAAAACAACTACTGTCCGTGTGCAGGGCGCTGCCCTTTGATCCTTAGGGAATAACTGGTCATACACCTCCTCACAAGGAGTATCCCTTGGGGGTGTATCGGCACAGTTTTCTGGTAGCGGAGCCCGGAAAGGGCCGCCCGCCTCCAAAGTCCGCTACAGCGGTCGGCCTCGCCGAACGCTTAACCAAGCGGATAAGAGGCAGCACAATGTCGAGCTCGCATAGCGAAGCCGACGACAGTTCCCAATCCTCCGGGGGATATGAGAACGAAGAGACCTCCCAAGGTCCAGCTACTTATGTCGCACAGTCATATGCAACATCTGACCGCATGCTTGCATCATTAGGCATAACGCCCAAGATCGCGCCTGCCTATGATGGCACCACCTCGTGGTTTGAGTATGAACAGTTGATTGACGACTGGTGCGACATAACAACGCTGGATGACACCAAAAGAGGTCCGTCTCTCAAGACGAGGCTCTCCGGATTGGCCGCAGTACAAAAAGAATCACTTAACCGAGAAAGGCTTGCAGCCCCAGATGGAGTAGATTACTTCAAGAAGAAGATGCGTCCATTTTTCGTGAAAGGAGAACAGTACGTTTTCCTGTGGCGTTTCCTCGGCCTATTCAAGGCATGGAAGGGCAACCAAGACTTTGTGACTTGGATTGCTAAGTTTGAGATCGTGCTACAGCGCGTGAAAAACTCATGGATGGATCTCTTACCAGAGATAGCTCTGGAAGATGCCCATCCAGATTTCATGCAGGCTGTGCAGGCAGATCAAACCTTCCTGCGCCTACAGGATGCAACCGAGAGAGACACATACGCCGCACGTTTCTTCGAAACATGGAACAAGGAACGCCTTGATAATCATCGAAGAGCGTTTCCTCTAAACGATAATCTCCTAGCTCTTCTCTTCCTAGTGCAGTCCGACCTGAATGAGATGCAACGTGAGAGGTTGGTAACAGCATTGACCAACCAAGGTCACCGAATTGAGACCTATACGTACCCTGTGGTACGGCAGATCATGTTCGATCAGTTCTCAACGACCAGAACTGGTCTGCAGGATCCCAACATTCGGCAGGATCCCAACATGCGGCACTCTTCTCACAAGAAGGACCGCCATGGAAGGAGAGACCAACGCCGCAAACGCGGAGGTCGAAACTTCCTCATCCTCGATCAGGGTGAATACGATGGAGTCGATGGATTCTGGCTCCAAGACGAAGACACCCTTGAGGAAGGCTTTCTGGCCGCCGAGGATGAAGAAGCTGTCTTCTGGACAGTTGATGACCATGAGGCCTTCGTTGCAAGGAGATTCAAAAAGGGAAGAAGACCAAGAATGCGTCCCGGATCACCGGGAAGAGCAAAGGGTGGCAAGCGAAAAGGACGTGGCCGTTTTAGGTCATACCGCGGAAAGGGGAGAGCCAACCAGGCAGAACATGATCCAACTGATTCCAGCTATTTCGGTAAAGGTAAAGGAAAGGAAAAAGGGAAAGGTGGAAAAGGCAAAGGAAAAGGAAAGGACAAAGGAGATAAAGGAAGCTCCTTCAAAGGCACAAAGGCAAAGGGCAAAGGTAAGGATACAGCTAAGTCTGCCTCCTTACAAGGAGACCAAACTGGATCTCCACAGGCCTATGAAAGTTCCACCGCACCGAGCTGGGATTCATGGTATGAGGACAGTTATTATACTGCCTCCAGTTGGAATTATGCCGCTTATGACGATCAAACGTCTTATACATACTATGCATCACAAGCCTCACGAAGAAAGACACGGAGAAAGAAGAGAAGAAATCAAGCAGGATCATCAGGTAGAGGCACAGATCCGAGCGCGCACCAAGAACCAGTGTACAACTCATCAGTGAGTTACGTGCCCCAGGTCTTTGAACCATCCGAGGGGCAAGGTGTTGAAACTGCAACAGCGGTGTTTCCGTTGCAGCACACCGTCCTATATGCTCTCACAGAGCGGATCAATCTTGATAAGAGCCCTACCTTTGTCATACTTGACTCAGGTTGTACTAGGGCTATGGGTTCCCGCTATGCGGTGAACAGGCTTATCAAGGCCGTGAAGCAACGTGCCCCAGGCATGATTGATTTCACTTTCTGACCTTCGAACACGAAGTTCTCTTTCGCAGATAGTGAAACAGCTCTTATCAAGGAGCGTGTAACTCTATGGTTCAACACAACTCCAAGAAGAGATACAACCATAGAAGTTTTGGATCAGGGAAGAGTCCCCATTCTGTTCTCCATCGAACAGATGAGGAATTTAAGAATGACTCTCGAGTGTAGTCCTACAGCTGACCTAGCAACGTGTGAAGCTTTCGGTTTGTATAAAACCCCTCTTCCGATTAGTACCAATAACCATTTGGTATTGGACCTTCTAGGCTTCACTTCCACCAGGAAGTATCTCCCTAAGTCAGGTACGTCGTTCAGTGCGACGGAGACTGCTCTAGGAGCCACGAAGCCTTATACTAGGATACCGGAAGGTCGCTGTCCAGCCTGTGCCGGACAGAAAAAGGCTCACACGTACCTCAAGGGCTGCGACAAAGCACCTGAGGGAGCAGCTGATCCACCACCGAAGAGGATTTCAGGCAAAAAGAAGCCTCTTCCATCTGATCCGGCAGAATCATCTGCCAAGAAACCTGATCCACCAGAATCATCTGGTGATGTTCCTGAGCCTTCCGGACCACCGGAACCATCATCAGGTTCTAGGGACAAACCTGCAGAATCCTCTGCACCACATGAACCTCCAGAAGAAGAAAGACTTGAGGTCCCACCTGCAAAGATAAAGACTCCAAAGGGTCTTAAAAACCTTCTGAAGAAATCCCGCAAATATGCGGTTAAATCTCCTGTTGAAGAGAAGTCTAAGGTCCCAGGAGCTGATGACGGGACGGAGGTAAGACCACTTGAGTCAAGAGAATACCCGGCTCCTGGTACAGACTCACCAACAGGTGAAGAGATTGTGGCAGAACCATCGCCATCTCTTCCAATTGCTCTTCGCAGGATTCATGAGAAGCTTAAGGACCCTGTAGAACTCTATAAGCTTCACCTCAAGCACCGTCATATGAGTACGGATCAGTTCAAGCGACGCACAAAGGCCTTACAGATCCCAAAGGAAATATACGAGCTATATGACCAACTGGTCAAAAAGTGTTCAGCCTGCCAGGAACATGTGAGAGCTCCTTCGAGAGCGAAGATTTCTGGTTTAAGATCAGAGACTTTCGGTGATCTCACCTTCGTGGATCACGGTGAGCTTCCAATTCCCGGCAAGGATAGTCGCTTAGTATTCCTTATTCTCTATGATGGAGCAACAAACTTGTTGACTGCCGAAGTAGTCCAGGATAAAGAAGAACATACTACAATGTCGATTATGAATGACTACTTTGAAAAATTTCAGATCAAACCAAAGGTTGTAGTTGGAGATCAAGCATTCATGACTCCAAAAATGGAGGCTTATTACAATCGGCAGAATATCAAGCCTGTGGCAACAGGACCTGGAACACCATGGCCCAACAGGGCCGAAGCTGCTGTAAGATTGATGAAGCATCAGATTAAGCTCATACTTCAGATTCTGAAGGATGGTGACCCGCAGTATAACGGAATCACCATGAAGTATGGCAACCTCGTTCGCCAAGCATGTTTGGCAAGAAACTCTTCAATTACCTACGGAGGAGTTACTCCTTTAGAAATGGCCTTTGGAAGGCGTCCTCGAGATGTTATAACACCAGAGAACGCCGATCCCAATCAGTTGACAGGTAATCCAACTGATACGGAAGTCACTGCGAGAGCCATTAAGGAGCTTGCCAAC